AGCTTTATAACTAAGTGTTACTCGTGTTGTTTCTAATTGTTTTCGCTCTTCAATTGTGACTTTTCTTGCATGCAAAGTAACGTATAAAATCGAGTTCTTTTGTAAGTTATATATAAAATAAGTTGGCGACCGAAATTTACGATCTGGCGACCAAAATTTTTCCGTTAGTTGCCAGCTGGCTCCCAAATGAAAAAGTTAATTTTGAGCCCTGTAACAGCTGCTACACTATGATGTTGCTCTCCTGAGTAAGCATGAGTATTGTCATGAGAAAACTTGGATTTGTAACAGGGCATGTAACTGGGTATCAAACATTACGTTGTATGATTTGTTGGATACTAAAGGCATCCACAGTCGATTGTCGATTGATACCCTTGATCAATTCTCCATCGACATCCCAGTCGAGAGTTGACCAAATTTTTTATTAATTCATAAGAGTCACTCGATACTCAGCCGACTATTGAGCGACTGTTGACTAAGTGTCGATAGAGTGTTGATTGAGTATCGATTGAGATGTCGATGAGGGTATCGATCAACACGACTGCAGATGCCTTTAGTACACATGATCTGATTTGTCATCAAACATTTGAAGTTTGGCAGACTGTAATGCAAATTTTTATATCCAAACTGAAAAAAACACAGTAGGTATTGTGTCATGAAGTTTTATATTTTCATTAAATTATTATACAAGTACAGGCAAAACTGCAAACAACATTTCCTTTGTTCAGGGAACTTGTCATATCATGACGTTTTATTCATACCTGCTGAAAATATTTTGACAACTCTACAAAACAGCACCGACTGTTTTTACAGTGAGCATTATGATCTGCCAAGCTTTAAATGATTGACAATGAATCATACAACATTTCATACTCAGTTAGTAGACACAAATATCCATTTGCTGATAGAACATGATCACACATGTACGCATAGACCCTTTGCATCAATGACACCTAAATCTAAATAACAATACTTATACATGTACATCGTAAGCCTTACATCCATAAGTACAAGACTAAGGATGTATACAGTATTTTCGTTTGCATTTAAGGTCTATTTCATTGGGGAAAATTAGTCTTACCTTTTAATTTGAAAATTATTAAAACTGTAGATTTTGAACTGCAATCCCTTCAACTTACCCTTGTTTTCTGACCAATAGTCAATTCAGCTGCACCTGAAAATCATTTGCCCCTAAATAGACTCTTTGTAGCTTGGGTTACACGATCTGCTTTGCATTAAGAAATTAAATTACCGGACATGTATAATATAGGCTATGGCTTTACAAACAGTACCAGAAGTGAAATGATAATGTTAAAATTTATTTACTATTTAACAATTAGACCCATGGCCCTTGAGGGCGAAGGGTCTAATTGTTTTAGTATCACCCAACTAGTCAGACAGAAAAGACAATAATAAAGTTAGCAAATGCAAGTTGAAGAAATATTTATTTGGGAATAAAATGAAAGAAAGCGTCACGCTCAATTGCACCGATTTTGCTACTCGAGGACTATTACTAATAGACCTCTAGTAGCGTAGCCAATTAAAATTCAGGATTTGCATTAGTCCATTAGTTGGGTGATACTAAAGTAAAATAGCCATGATTACTGCAAATTGTATACTAAAAATTGAAAGGAGTATGGAAATGTTTCTAGCGAACAACAGGATTCTCTGTAAGCACTACAGATTACATCATGATTATGATAAAATTTTATTGTCTACATTCCATTCCAGACTCAACTCAACAAGAAATGCCAAAAGAGCAAACACAGTAAAATTCGTGGCATCCCTAAACTTGATGATGCTAATGATGCAGGTGGTAGGAATTCCAAGCAGTGTACACTTATTCTGACTGAGGGAGACTCGGCCAAAACGCTGGCTGTCAGTGGCTTGAGTGTTGTGGGTAGAGACCAGTATGGAGTGTTTCCACTGCGTGGTAAGCTGTTGAATGTCAGGGATGCATCGCACAAGCAGGTACATGTATTCTAAACACACATAATAAAGTATCTCCATAATGCAATGAGAAAATGATATATAAAGGAGCAGGCTCTTGGGAATGGTAAGATTTGGCATACAGTTGAATTTGGTTGCAAGAACCACCCTGGGTCAAATTAACTGACGATACAGACAAAAGTACATTGTACAAGTATATACAGGGCATTTGGGTCATCTGTTGCATTGACATTAATTTTGTACCTGTAATAAACTTGTTTCTTTGTGGGTGAATTGTATCAGGAACCAGCAAGTTCACCCGTAACATCAAGGGTCTGTCCTGCATAGTCCAGCCGTACGTCACAGGTGTTACAGGTTATTGCCCTTAATGATAGCCCCCCTATATATATCTTAATTGACCACTTCCAATGGGGCTTCTCAGGGTCAATGTCAGCAAACTTTGAAACAAATACTGGAAATGAACTACATGTAACCTGGTAGGAATGCCAGTTGACTATTTATAAAGAGTGCCCAGTATCTTAAAAAAAGTTTTCCCGTAGCCCGGGGCTAGTAGATTCTGTTCTTCACTTGCTCACCGACAAGTGAAGCTTGTTGGGGTAACATTTGACAAAATTAATTCATTTTGTAGTTATAATCAATCATGCCAGTGGGAAAAAGTTTTACCAGAAAAGATGGAAAACTGATTTATATGGTCATGTACACATTCTTACAGTACAGGCCACAGGGATTGCAGCAATGTTGCACATATAAAACGTACACAATATGGTAGCTCACTGTGCATGATTTAGGCCCATGATCATTGACATGAGAGTAAATTTTACACATGTAAAAACTTTGCCTGCCTCAAGCTCAACTCAGAGTAGAATTTTGAAATTTGATGTTTTGTGTGTGATTACAGATTCTTGAAAATGCCGAGATCAACAATCTTATCAAGATCGTAGGTCTCCAATACAACAAAAAGTATACATCTGAAGAAGACCTTAAAAGCTTGAGATATGGCCATATCATGATCATGACAGACCAGGATCAAGATGGTTCTCACATCAAGGGGCTTCTGATCAACTTCATACACAGTAACTGGCCTGACTTGACACGCTTGCCGTTCTTGGAGGAGTTTATTACTCCTATTGTTAAGGTTAGTGATCTGAACTACAATGATAATTATTACTGATCTTAATGCGAAGCTTACAAATTAAAAGAATTCTCATGTAGATAGACCTTTCTTTAATAGTGTATGTTACTTTTTGATAAAGGAATTTTAAGTCAAAGTTTCTATTTTAACCATGTGTCAAGCTAAGTGTACCAAAGTCTTCAAGACAATAATGCCTTTCCTTTGTTTTAGACAAATGTGAAACCCAAAGTCTCCAGCAGTGTTAAGTCTTTGTTTCAATAATCAATTGTTATGTTTTCTCATACATTACTTATTGATTCATTTCAAACTAAGGTCAGCAAAGGCAAAGAAGAGAAGGCTTTCTATAGCATTCCAGAATATGAGGAGTGGAAAAACAGCACAGAAAATGCTAAATCCTGGAAAGTAAAGTACTATAAAGGGTTGGGCACAAGCACTCCTAAGGAGGCTAAAGAATACTTTGCCGACATGAGACGGCATGAGATTCAGTTCCATCACGAAGGTGCTGCGTGTGATGAGGCAATACTCATGGTATGTACAAGTAACACTAACTTAATAATGGATGAACTTAGGATGATATACATATATAGAGTCTTTGTACATGAGCTACTTGTACTTGGTGTTTTATCTTAGATTTTCTAAGAACAGATAAGATAACAAATACCGGTACTTAGTCAGCTGGTAGGTGTACAAAAACTTTGATGAGAATAGGTTAAACAATGAGTGACAAAAATGTCTTTGGTTGGGGACATCAAATTGGCAACGTTTTAATATTAGTTACATGTAAGTGCATGTTTCTGTTGCCTGCAGATGAGAATTGGTTGATTACAAAAAGAACTGCTTATAGAAGTTTTTAAAAAAGTGCCATATGGTTTTTGATTGTAGGCATTCAGTAAAAAGAAAGTCAATGACAGAAAAGACTGGCTTAACCGTGCTATGGAAGATCGCAAATGGAGAAAGCAGCAGGGCTTGCCAGAGGTAATTGAGTAAGAGTATCTGTAGCATTGAATGTAATTCAGGTCAGTCACATCGTTTTTTAAAAAACAATCAGTGACAGGTAATGCTGTTTTGTGTTCCTTCCCAGATGGTTTTAAACATATTATGGGTTGAATGAAACTGTTTTTTATGGATTTTTTGACAGGTTTACCTATATGAAAAAGATACAAAGACAGTTTCTTACTCAGACTTTGTCAACAAAGAACTGGTTTTGTTCTCAAATGCAGACAATGAGCGATCAATTCCTTGTCTGGTGGATGGTAAGTAATATGGAGCTTATATTATGCATGACACCTTGTAAAAAATGGAATGTTCTACCTTCAAATTTTGCAACTATCTAGATCTGTTCAGTATGCCTGTAGCTCTTGCTCAGGCTAAATATGTAATAACAGCATTCAATTCCAAATGGAAAAAAAAAATTAGCTGGAGTATGGCTGCCATATTGCATGACATCGACGTTGTGTGTATGTGCCCACAAGCAATACCACTAGTCATTTTTACCATGAGAAAAATCATTCACGGGTCCCTATGACTATGGGTCTCTACTTGGCGACCTTTCAGGTTCTGGAGCCCTGCCATCATATACAAAATACATGTTGGGAAGAGTGGACACTGTAAGAGTAGTTTCTTACTCAGGGCACAGTTATCATGATTTGTAACCTAATGAGCCAGTTTTCTTCCAGGATATTAGAGTTATTCTCAGTCAAAGTCATCCTTCTTTTTGGAATTGCATCATACAAATATGATCTGTTTTATCACCTCAGGCTTAAAGCCTGGCCAAAGGAAAGTCCTATTCACGTGTCTAAAGAGAAATGACAAGAGAGAGGTCAAAGTCGCTCAACTGGCAGGATCTGTGGCTGAACTGTCTGCGTACCACCACGGCGAGGTAATTTTGTATGGACAATACCTTCCAGTTAATTGTTACAACAGCATTTTTTGTTATCTTATTAAGAAACATCAGAGACTAGTGTATATGTCAAAGTTCAAAACTTCATCTTGAGAATAAGAATAATTTTTTATTGACAGTTTTGGTGGGCAACACAGACATGAAAATGTCAAGGAAACTAAAAGAGTTTGAAAGTGGTATTCTGTGTCAGGAAATAATCTATTAGATTTTGAACAAGAAATTCTGGATTTTGGATTTAGGATTTTTACCTAAGTTGATGGAACGATACTTGTACTTAAAATTAGTAGGTTAATAGCTCAAATTGAAACATTTGCAACAAATCAACAAATTTTGTGAACCATGTATAACAATTATTTAACACTTATCAGCACCTTGTATTGGTATTCTATCATCAAATTATCATAGAGTGAAATCCAATTATTCAAACCACATAACAGAGCTCGACGTTGCAACGGCTGGGGTTGCCAGTGCAACCAAATTTTTTTTTTTCACTTTTCACTGAAATACTTTTGCTGGCAACTAAACCTGAAACCTTAGGGGCTAGGTGACCCCAAGGTTTTTTCTCGAGAGTTGAGCCATGTACAGGGGAATGTGGCTTGCAAAATCAAGGGTAAATAAATCTCCTGACTTTATGCTCATGACACAAAATTGCTTCAAATGATTGCAAGGTTTGGAATATTGAGGGTTTGAAAAATTGGCATTTCACTGGATCTACACTCAAGTCATGGAATTCTGAATATGTTTTCTCTTGTCCCTCATTTAGCAAAGTCTGATGGGAACAATCATCAACTTAGCACAGAATTTTGTCGGCAGCAATAACGTCAACCTACTTCAGCCAGTTGGCCAGTTTGGCACTCGTATACATGGAGGAAAGGATGCTGCTAGTCCTCGTTACATTTTCACTATGCTGAGCCCTTTGACCAAGCTCCTCTTTCCTGCGCATGACATGCCGAGCCTTACATACTTATTTGATGACAACCAGCCTGTTGAACCAGAATGGTATTGCCCCATTCTTCCCACAGTTTTGATAAATGGGGCTGAAGGTATTGGTACTGGGTACAGTACTAAGGTGCCTAACTTTGATGTGCGGCAGGTTGTCAGCAATCTGAAGAAAATGATCAATGGAGAGGAACCAGAAGCTATGGTGTGAATTTTACAACCTTAATTAGTCGTAATTATATGTTATTAAAGAATTGGCACCAATGTGTACTAAAGGAATCCGTGGTCGAGTGCCCATTGATATCTTTGATCGACACTCCATCAACACCTCGGTTGACACTCAAGCGATGCTCCATTTACATTTCGATTGACAGTCAATTGAGAGTTAACTAATTTTCAATCGATGCATATGAGTCAATCCTCACTCAGCTGACTATCAACTGACTGTTGATTGAGTATTGACCAGGTAGTGATTGGGATGTCCATCGAGTATCGACCAAGATGTCGATTGAGAGTATGGATCGACTGCGGATGCCTTTAGTACTCATGATCCAAGCATTGTAGGAGCAGGTGAGCCATTCATCTAATAATGTAGAAAGAGAATGCAAAATCAGCCACCCACTCCAACAGTAAAGCAACTTATTCAAACTTTGTGACAGCCCTGTCATGGTGTTGCTCTATAGGATGCTGTGGCATGTCAGATTGGTCTTTCTCAGTTAAAAATTAATATTTCTTGGCATGAATTATACAAGCAGGGATACTGCATTATTTTTGGTCGAGGTACATGCATGTCATCATTTTAGCATTTCCAGGAAAAAGAACACCAAGTCTTAAGACCTGGACACACAGTGACACACTGCATGTAACACTGTTAGCACCATTTGTCACTTGTGTGTTTACCTCTTAAGTTGTTGCCCACAATGTTGAAGAATGGGATTGTACTTTACCATGTCAGCGGTAGACACTGGATGCAGTTTAGGCATTGCACACAATATGTTGTGCAGTGTTGCACTATATGTCTGGGTCTTTTGACATGTGATCAGTGTTGGGTAATCAATTGAGCACAGACAGAATTGTCTCCTAACTCAAGGTACATTGCCTTTGTGAAGTTTGCTTCAAAAATGCAGGGGTGCCACAGCAACTTTCTTTCTTTCTATTTTTGTTAAATCCACCTTTAGGTACCTTCTTACAAGAATTTCACAGGCACTATTTCCCAAATTGATACCCACAAATTCCTTGTGCAAGGTAATGTGGACGTGACTGACAACAAAACTGTGGAAATCACTGAATTGCCAGTTGGTACCTGGACCCAAGTCTACAAAGAGAATGTGTTGGAACCAATGCTTCATGGTACAGAGAAAATTCCTCCAATCCTCACGTAAGTTAAAAGGAAATATTTGTGTATTTATTTATTTATTTATTTTTTTATTTATTTTTTTAGAGATTCCCTTCACTTTTTGCTCAGGAAGAGACTCATAACTGCTCAATCTCCTATTGTGCATGCTTGAACTATGCCAGCATGTTGCATGTTTTGTACTTTGTCTTACAAAAGTTTTGCACACCATTAAATCTGTAGTTATTTTTGCGGCAAATTACTGGAATTCCTACTTTTCCACCACTCCTTTCTTAGAGAAACAGAAATTTTGAAAAGTTCCATGAAGTACTGAGTGACAAAGAAAAAGAATTAAACTAACATTGGCTTCAAGACCACGCTCTCAAGTGCGTGCTTCGCAAACTGAAACAAATTGTTATGGAATGATATTAATAATAGCTAACAAGCTCAATAACCTACCTATCAATCCTCACATCATGTTCCATTGACAGTGAATAGCTTGTTATAAAGGTGAATTCATGTACAGCAGTAGTTTTAGGAACTGTGCAAGCAGCACTTGTTATTGTCATCTTTCAGTGATTACAAAGAATACCACACAGATGTAACAGTTAAGTTTATACTGAGCATGACAGAGGACAAGTTAGCTGAGGCAGAGCAGGCAGGATTGCACAAGAAATTTAAACTTGAAACCACAATTTCCACCAGTAACATGGTGAGTTACCTAGAAAATAAATATTGATGTAATATATCAAACACGAGAGACAGTGTTTCATTGGGATATCCAAACAGCGGGAAGAGAGTTGAAAATACGGCACGCAGCAGAGTATTTTTGACGAAATTCAAGGTGATTGGATAGCTGATGAAACAATGTCTCGAGTGTTTAATATATCTTCTCAATCCAAACAAAAACTAAGAAGTAAATGGAGAAGTAAAATCGTCAAAATCTATGCTTATTAAGACTGTATGTCACACTATCCAAACCTCCTTCACCGTTATGATTTTCTTTGTTTTAACTTGATGAATTATTAATGAGTTTGAGGAAATGTCATTCTAACAAGAAATAGACCTTTTTAGCTTGGACGGTTTGTTGTCCCATTTCAGACAATGTGATGATACTCTTGCAAGTTCTTGCTTTAAAATTTTCAAACAGTTGCGTGTATGTGAATGAATAATTTTTAGATGGATAGAGAAACAACTCTCTAGAGATTATCATGTGGTCTTTAATGATAAACAACTGACCCAAACAAAAAATGTCTGTTACAAAGTCTGCTCGAGTCTGCTTGCAGTTTGTGTGTACTTTAAAATGACAGTGATGTTGTGGTGGTGAGAGTGCTGACCTTGCACTACAACGGTTTAAGTCCTGGATGCACCCTGAGTTTATTTTTGGTTCTTACCCTGACTTTGAATGTTTTTCTTTGACTTTTCCTACTTTTTCATTTGTTGGCCTGTTTTTATAATCCAATGGTTTTAGTGAGAGAACAACTGGTAAATATTTTTCAGGGAGGAAAACCAGCATTGAATTATCATCTAATCAAATCATGTGTCTTAAAAGCCACTTTTTCCTAGTGCCAAGACCCCACCATGTGAGAGAAAGGGGCTTTTCTGGGGTCTCATTTGGTTAGGGCAGTGGTTGCAACCATTTAGAATTTTTGGCAGTACTTGTCAAATGAATACTTCAAGTGAACTTTTCAATTTTGTGTGAGCTTTTACTCTGAGATGCTGATTTTTTTTCGTTTTTCTTGTTTTGCTCTTTCCATGTTCTCTGTGGCAGTAAAATTACCATGAATTGTTTCACATGCTTCTGTTCAGGTTTTGTTTGATGCTTTGGGTTGCCTGCGCAAGTATGAGTCCCCACTAGACGTACTCAAAGAGTTTTTTGAGCTTCGTTTAGAAAGGTATGCTATTCGCAAGGCATGGCTGGAAGGAATGTTGACTGCAGAATCATCCAAGCTGAACAGTCAGGCACGCTTCATCTTGGAAAAGATTGAAGGACAGATCATTATTGGTAAGGGCTTTACTTGGAACTCACAACAAATATATGTTGTACAGGTCACGCTTAGCAAATCACTGAGTTCCTAATTATGCGCATGTTACTTAATTATTTCTGGATTTTGTAATGCTTCATGGTTGCCCCTAATGTCAGAAAACAATACTGAATAGTTCCCTTGTTGGGTTGTGAGTAAATACATTGTAACAACAACAACAANTATTGATTCATTTCAAACTAAGGTCAGCAAAGGCAAAGAAGAGAAGGCTTTCTATAGCATTCCAGAATATGAGGAGTGGAAAAACAGCACAGAAAATGCTAAATCCTGGAAAGTAAAGTACTATAAAGGGTTGGGCACAAGCACTCCTAAGGAGGCTAAAGAATACTTTGCCGACATGAGACGGCATGAGATTCAGTTCCATCACGAAGGTGCTGCGTGTGATGAGGCAATACTCATGGTATGTACAAGTAACACTAACTTAATAATGGATGAACTTAGGATGATATACATGTATAGAGTCTTTGTACATGAGCTACTTGTACTTGGTGTTTTATCTTAGATTTTCTAAGAACAGATAAAATAACAAATACCGGTACTTAGTCAGCTGGTAGGTGTACAAAAACTTTGATGAGAATAGGTTAAACAATGAGTGACAAAAATGTCTTTGGTTGGGGACATCAAATTGGCAACGTTTTAATATTAGTTACATGTAAGTGCATGTTTCTGTTGCCTGCAGATGAGAATTGGTTGATTACAAAAAGAACTGCTTATAGAAGTTTTTAAAAAAGTGCCATATGGTTTTTGATTGTAGGCATTCAGTAAAAAGAAAGTCAATGACAGAAAAGACTGGCTTAACCGTGCTATGGAAGATCGCAAATGGAGAAAGCAGCAGGGCTTGCCAGAGGTAATTGAGTAAGAGTATCTGTAGCATTGAATGTAATTCAGGTCAGTCACATCGTTTTTTAAAAAACAATCAGTGACAGGTAATGCTGTTTTGTGTTCCTTCCCAGATGGTTTTAAACATATTATGGGTTGAATGAAACTGTTTTTTATGGATTTTTTGACAGGTTTACCTATATGAAAAAGATACAAAGACAGTTTCTTACTCAGACTTTGTCAACAAAGAACTGGTTTTGTTCTCAAATGCAGACAATGAGCGATCAATTCCTTGTCTGGTGGATGGTAAGTAATATGGAGCTTATATTATGCATGACACCTTGTAAAAAATGGAATGTTCTACCTTCAAATTTTGCAACTATCTAGATCTGTTCAGTATGCCTGTAGCTCTTGCTCAGGCTAAATATGTAATAACAGCATTCAATTCCAAATGGAAAAAAAAAATTAGCTGGAGTATGGCTGCCATATTGCATGACATCGACGTTGTGTGTATGTGCCCACAAGCAATACCACTAGTCATTTTTACCATGAGAAAAATCATTCACGGGTCCCTATGACTATGGGTCTCTACTTGGCGACCTTTCAGGTTCTGGAGCCCTGCCATCATATACAAAATACATGTTGGGAAGAGTGGACACTGTAAGAGTAGTTTCTTACTCAGGGCACAGTTATCATGATTTGTAACCTAATGAGCCAGTTTTCTTCCAGGATATTAGAGTTATTCTCAGTCAAAGTCATCCTTCTTTTTGGAATTGCATCATACAAATATGATCTGTTTTATCACCTCAGGCTTAAAGCCTGGCCAAAGGAAAGTCCTATTCACGTGTCTAAAGAGAAATGACAAGAGAGAGGTCAAAGTCGCTCAACTGGCAGGATCTGTGGCTGAACTGTCTGCGTACCACCACGGCGAGGTAATTTTGTATGGACAATACCTTCCAGTTAATTGTTACAACAGCATTTTTTGTTATCTTATTAAGAAACATCAGAGACTAGTGTATATGTCAAAGTTCAAAACTTCATCTTGAGAATAAGAATAATTTTTTATTGACAGTTTTGGTGGGCAACACAGACATGAAAATGTCAAGGAAACTTGAAGAGTTTGAAAGTGGTATTCTGTGTCAGGAAATAATCTATTAGATTTTGAACAAGAAATTCTGGATTTTGGATTTAGGATTTTTACCTAAGTTGATGGAACGATACTTGTACTTAAAATTAGTAGGTTAATAGCTCAAATTGAAACATTTGCAACAAATCAACAAATTTTGTGAACCATGTATAACAATTATTTAACACTTATCAGCACCTTGTATTGGTATTCTATCATCAAATTATCATAGAGTGAAATCCAATTATTCAAACCACATAACAGAGCTCGACGTTGCAACGGCTGGGGTTGCCAGTGCAACCAAATTTTTTTTTTTCACTTTTCACTGAAATACTTTTGCTGGCAACTAAACCTGAAACCTTAGGGGCTAGGTGACCCCAAGGTTTTTTCTCGAGAGTTGAGCCATGTACAGGGGAATGTGGCTTGCAAAATCAAGGGTAAATAAATCTCCTGACTTTATGCTCATGACACAAAATTGCTTCAAATGATTGCAAGGTTTGGAATATTGAGGGTTTGAAAAATTGGCATTTCACTGGATCTACACTCAAGTCATGGAATTCTGAATATGTTTTCTCTTGTCCCTCATTTAGCAAAGTCTGATGGGAACAATCATCAACTTAGCACAGAATTTTGTCGGCAGCAATAACGTCAACCTACTTCAGCCAGTTGGCCAGTTTGGCACTCGTATACATGGAGGAAAGGATGCTGCTAGTCCTCGTTACATTTTCACTATGCTGAGCCCTTTGACCAAGCTCCTCTTTCCTGCGCATGACATGCCGAGCCTTACATACTTATTTGATGACAACCAGCCTGTTGAACCAGAATGGTATTGCCCCATTCTTCCCACAGTTTTGATAAATGGGGCTGAAGGTATTGGTACTGGGTACAGTACTAAGGTGCCTAACTTTGATGTGCGGCAGGTTGTCAGCAATCTGAAGAAAATGATCAATGGAGAGGAACCAGAAGCTATGGTGTGAATTTTACAACCTTAATTAGTCGTAATTATATGTTATTAAAGAATTGGCACCAATGTGTACTAAAGGAATCCGTGGTCGAGTGCCCATTGATATCTTTGATCGACACTCCATCAACACCTCGGTTGACACTCAAGCGATGCTCCATTTACATTTCGATTGACAGTCAATTGAGAGTTAACTAATTTTCAATCGATGCATATGAGTCAATCCTCACTCAGCTGACTATCAACTGACTGTTGATTGAGTATTGACCAGGTAGTGATTGGGATGTCCATCGAGTATCGACCAAGATATCGATTGAGAGTATGGATCGACTGCGGATGCCTTTAGTACTCATGATCCAAGCATTGTAGGAGCAGGTGAGCCATTCATCTAATAATGTAGAAAGAGAATGCAAAATCAGCCACCCACTCCAACAGTAAAGCAACTTATTCAAACTTTGTGACAGCCCTGTCATGGTGTTGCTCTATAGGATGCTGTGGCATGTCAGATTGGTCTTTCTCAGTTAAAAATTAATATTTCTTGGCATGAATTATACAAGCAGGGATACTGCATTAATTTTGGTCGAGGTACATGCATGTCATCATTTTAGCATTTCCAGGAAAAAGAACACCAAGTCTTAAGACCTGGACACACAGTGACACACTGCATGTAACACTGTTAGCACCATTTGTCACTTGTGTGTTTACCTCTTAAGTTGTTGCCCACAATGTTGAAGAATGGGATTGTACTTTACCATGTCAGCGGTAGACACTGGATGCAGTTTAGGCATTGCACACAATATGTTGTGCAGTGTTGCACTATATGTCTGGGTCTTTTGACATGTGATCAGTGTTGGGTAATCAATTGAGCACAGACAGAATTGTCTCCTAACTCAAGGTACATTGCCTTTGTGAAGTTTGCTTCAAAAATGCAGGGGTGCCACAGCAACTTTCTTTCTTTCTATTTTTGTTAAATCCACCTTTAGGTACCTTCTTACAAGAATTTCACAGGCACTATTTCCCAAATTGATACCCACAAATTCCTTGTGCAAGGTAATGTGGACGTGACTGACAACAAAACTGTGGAAATCACTGAATTGCCAGTTGGTACCTGGACCCAAGTCTACAAAGAGAATGTGTTGGAACCAATGCTTCATGGTACAGAGAAGATTCCTCCAATCCTCACGTAAGTTAAAAGGAAATATTTGTGTATTTATTTATTTATTTATTTTTTTAGAGATTCCCTTCACTTTTTGCTCAGGAAGAGACTCATAACTGCTCAATCTCCTATTGTGCATGCTTGAACTATGCCAGCATGTTGCATGTTTTGTACTTTGTCTTACAAAAGTTTTGCACACCATTAAATCTGTAGTTATTTTTGCGGCAAATTACTGGAATTCCTACTTTTCCACCACTCCTTTCTTAGAGAAACAGAAATTTTGAAAAGTTCCATGAAGTACTGAGTGACAAAGAAAAAGAATTAAACTAACATTGGCTTCAAGACCACGCTCTCAAGTGCGTGCTTCGCAAACTGAAACAAATTGTTATGGAATGATATTAATAATAGCTAACAAGCTCAATAACCTACCTATCAATCCTCACATCATGTTCCATTGACAGTGAATAGCTTGTTATAAAGGTGAATTCATGTACAGCAGTAGTTTTAGGAACTGTGCAAGCAGCACTTGTTATTGTCATCTTTCAGTGATTACAAAGAATACCACACAGATGTAACAGTTAAGTTTATACTGAGCATGACAGAGGACAAGTTAGCTGAGGCAGAGCAGGCAGGATTGCACAAGAAATTTAAACTTGAAACCACAATTTCCACCAGTAACATGGTGAGTTACCTAGAAAATAAATATTGATGTAATATATCAAACACGAGAGACAGTGTTTCATTGGGATATCCAAACAGCGGGAAGAGAGTTGAAAATACGGCACGCAGCAGAGTATTTTTGACGAAATTCAAGGTGATTGGATAGCTGATGAAACAATGTCTCGAGTGTTTAATATATCTTCTCAATCCAAACAAAAACTAAGAAGTAAATGGAGAAGTAAAATCGTCAAAATCTATGCTTATTAGGACTGTATGTCACACTATCCAAACCTCCTTCACCGTTATGATTTTCTTTGTTTTAACTTGATGAATTATTAATGAGTTTGAGGAAATGTCATTCTAACAAGAAATAGACCTTTTTAGCTTGGACGGTTTGTTGTCCCATTTCAGACAATGTGATGATACTCTTGCAAGTTCTTGCTTTAAAATTTTCAAACAGTTGCGTGTATGTGAATGAATAATTTTTAGATGGATAGAAAAACAACTCTCTAGAGATTATCATGTGGTCTTTAATGATAAACAACTGGCCCAAACAAAAAATGTCTGTTACAAAGTCTGCTCGAGTCTGCTTGCAGTTTGTGTGTACTTTAAAATGACAGTGATGTTGTGGTGGTGAGAGTGCTGACCTTGCACTACAACGGTTTAAGTCCTGGATGCACCCTGAGTTTATTTTTGGTTCTTACCCTGACTTTGAATGTTTTTCTTTGACTTTTCCTACTTTTTCATTTGTTGGCCTGTTTTTATAATCCAATGGTTTTAGTGAGAGAACAACTGGTAAATATTTTTCAGGGAGGAAAACCAGCATTGAATTATCATCTAATCAAATCATGTGTCTTAAAAGCCACTTTTTCCTAGTGCCAAGACCCCACCATGTGAGAGAAAGGGGCTTTTCTGGGGTCTCATTTGGTTAGGGCAGTGGTTGCAACCATTTAGAATTTTTGGCAGTACTTGTCAAATGAATACTTCAAGTGAACTTTTCAATTTTGTGTGAGCTTTTACTCTGAGATGCTGATTTTTTTTCGTTTTTCTTGTTTTGCTCTTTCCATGTTCTCTGTGGCAGTAAAATTACCATGAATTGTTTCACATGCTTCTGTTCAGGTTTTGTTTGATGCTTTGGGTTGCCTGCGCAAGTATGAGTCCCCACTAGACGTACTCAAAGAGTTTTTTGAGCTTCGTTTAGAAAGGTATGCTATTCGCAAGGCATGGCTGGAAGGAATGTTGACTGCAGAATCATCCAAGCTGAACAGTCAGGCACGCTTCATCTTGGAAAAGATTGAAGGACAGATCATTATTGGTAAGGGCTTTACTTGGAACTCACAACAAATATATGTTGTACAGGTCACGCTTAGCAAATCACTGAGTTCCTAATTATGCGCATGTTACTTAATTATTTCTGGATTTTGTAATGCTTCATGGTTGCCCCTAATGTCAGAAAACAATACTGAATAGTTCCCTTGTTGGGTTGTGAGTAAATACATTGTAACAACAACAACAACAAAAACAATGATATCGTTTTGTAAAATCCACTTTGGTGGTACACTGAAAATTCAAAGCCCAAAGACCAAATTGGTTAATAGTTGTATTCAATTTCTTTTCAGTGCTAAAAACTTGTTTTTTCTGTATTCAAAAAAAAATGTAAATTGGGTTTATGCAGTATGTGATAGGGGTAATATCTCTTTTAGTCAGTTGAACCTGAAATTTTTTTCTTTTTTTTTTCTCAGAAAACCGATCCAAACGTGATATCATCACAACCCTGGTACAGCGAGGATACCCCTCTGATCCGATCAAGGCCTGGAAAGAACTCCAGAAATCAAATGCTCCTGAAGACGGAGATGTAGACGATGCTTCCAGTGTAGCGAGTTCTGCCTCTAGTGCTGGTGGCCCTGACTTCAACTATCTGTTGTCCATGTCAATGCTGTCTCTTTCCCGAGAAAAGAAAGAAGAACTCTTGAAAGAACGAGATAATAAGGTTAGAGGAGGAAAAGCTTAAGCCAATTAGAATCGTATTCCCAAGAGCTAAAGTCCCTCTCGAGCAATGTTCGGAAAATTTGACTATCAACCGCTGGTCAAGATAGACTTGATAGCTCTAGGTATGAGATTGAGATAAAGCTTAAAAGATGGTGGGTTTGCAATGAAAGTAGGTGCGTGGAGGATGCCAGCAATGAGCCTTCCTCCTCTATAATACAGAAAGAGCAACACACCATATCCCCAGAGCGGCCATTAGCAAGTGCCTAGCAACTCTAAGTTTACTAAAAGAGACTCCTCAGGGGAGACAATCTTGACAAGCTAGAACATTCCTATCCTGGACGCAGAGCATTATACAGCAGAACATCCCCACTTGGACGTTAAAGCCATACCTCTCAATATTTTATTCAACAAAGTTATAAGGCAGCTAACTGAATGTACTCCCCACAGTAATAAAATGCCATGTTGTAATTTAGATGGAGGAGCTGGAGATATTACGGGGAAAGTCCCCTCAGGACCTTTGGTTAGAAGATCTGGATGCCTTCCTGGAAGAACTTGAGGTGTGTTTATTCAAAAATATGTGCAGTTAAGACTTGGCCAAGATCAAACTATATCCATTGACACAAATGGAAAGTTCCTACTGAGAGTCTGACAAATTTCACCATTTCGCAGGTTATGCTTTGTTTCTGTAGGTAACATGACATCTGTAACAGTTGTATAAGCTTAAAATTGTAAAGGCTTTGTAGCCTTCACAAACATATCAGACAATCGCATTTGGAACACTTTCATCCAAGTTCTTTGGCACTGTTGTTTTAAAGGACATGTGAATCTTCAATTTATTTGTCTTACTTTGCTTTTTTCAATTTTCACTTGTTTCCAGCGAGTTGAACAACAGGAGAAGGACGATCAAGAGTTGTGTGTGAAACCCAAAGGTGGCCGTTCACAACAGCAGAAGAAGAAACCTGCAAAACCTGTAAAGAAAGCTGAAGACAAACCCAAGACTCAGGCAAAGAAGCCAGCCTTGGATGCTGAAGGAAAACAGAAGAAGGCTGATGGTAAGAGCAAGGAGGCAGCAGCTAAGATAGCAGAGAGGAACGACGACTTGTGGGAATTTGAGGGAGAGGAAGATGCTGCACCGCCTGTCAAGTCATTGGCAGATAGACTGGCGCAGCGTCAGAAAGTGCTCAGCTCATCATCATCGTCATCCAGTAGTGGTACTGAGTCTACAAGTCGTTCTGCAGCAAGATCTAAGAAACAAACTACACTGGAGATGTTTAGTACAAAGAAGAAAGCAGCTGACAAGGCAAAGAAGGCAGATAGTGATGATGATTTTATTATGCAGTTTAGTGATGAAGAGGATGGGCCACCACCTGTGAAAAGGACGGCTAGATCTACTGCTCCTAAGGTTTGTGCAGCTTTTTGATAAGAGGCTGTAACAAGCAAAATACAAGTTACCGGTTTTGATACTGTGAAAATTCCTTTCATTGGGCATCCAGGAAACTCCTTACAATGCATGTACCTCCTCCCCAAACTGTACGAATATAAGCCCAGTGACGTATATTCAACCAGTTCCGATTATTATCTGTCTTTTTTTGGTCATTACAATACTCCCTAAACTTGTCACGATGCGCATTTGGCAAAAATAATGTATTACTTAAGGTGCGCTCATTTGAGATGATCACATCTGGATTAAAGAAGAGAGATCCAAGATCACTCGCAACAGTGCATCAACTGATGAATGCAATTTTGGACAAGGACTGATCGGTTTCTTTCATGTACCATGATTTGAGTGATCTTAGATCATAAATGATGTTCCAGATCATCCTAAAGGAACGTATCCTAAATTTTCCTATGCAGTATTCCTGTATGAACCCAAACTGTTTCCGACACAAATTTCCGTGGAATTATCAATCCAGTCACTGTGAATTGCAAACTCCTTCCTAAAGAATACTTGCCCGAAAAATAAAGCCAACAGAAAACCCTTTGGGACGATATGATCCTATCAGAACGCATACAAAATAAAATTTTTGTACCATAAATTTTACTGATGGAGAGAGAGTTCACCCTTTTGCTCATTTGTTGTTAATATTGAAGGTCTACACACTTAGTTCTGACGAGGATGATGACATAACCGTTGCATCAGTGAAAAGCGGAAAGCAGTCTGAGACAGCAAGTGTGGAGAGTGACACAGAGTCAGACAAGAGTGATGTACTTGCCACACGAGCCCTGATTCAAAAGCTGTCTCCTGCTAAACCAGCAAAGACTGTTCAATCAAGGGTGAGGGACATGTTTTCATTAACACTTATAAAAAGGAATGAAGGGAAGATAGAGTTATGTTATTTTCCAAGCCAGGCCAAGGCTGGCAGCTAACTCCAATTTTGATGTGACCAGACATCTTGTTATCTTTAATTTAGGTCACTGATTTCCAAAGCATGATTAAGAGGAACCTAGAGTGTTTTTTTTCTTTTTGAAATGTGTTTAGCAGTGTTATCATAAAGTATCAGGCAAGTATCAGGCATTTGCACATTCTGGTCTCAAAAGTCTGACTGAACCCACGATATTTGCCCCGAAATTACAACTGTTCTCCAGTTGATCAGCAACTGCTAGCACCATGATGAGACAAGTTGTTGATTGGTTTTAAATAATAATTGGAACTTTACAAGTGACTTAACGAAGATTTGCAAAAGCGACACTTGTTCCTTTGACTGTAATTGGGACATCTTATGTCCTTGACAGGGCTGTGCTCTAGAAGCACCTGGGTGCCACAGGTGACTAACTTTTGCCTTTGGGCGACTGGAAAAACTTACCAGGATTTCATGGTTAGGAAATTTTGGGACTCCTTATAATTTTTCTTAGACCACAGTCTTGCTTGAGAGCATACCATTATCTCAGTCATATAAATGTTCAAATGGGTCCCTTGCACTTGTTGAGAAATATTCCAACAATTTAAAACACTAATGATGAGTAGTATAGGGGGTGCTTCTAAGATTCTGATTGGTTACATCTCAGAAGCGCTCCTTATACTACTATGATGGTGGCCTGGATCATCCCAGATGTTAATTCAGTTTGTAACCTAACAGGCAAAAGAGCCTTCAGAAGATGCTGTACCAGGTAAATCTACCAAGAAACAACCAGCTAAAGCCAAGAGTACTGCAGCGGCGACAAAGAAACCCACCGCAGCAAAGAAACCAGCTTCATCTAAAGGCTCCACGGAAGAGGAGAGTTCTGATGCAAACTTGCCAAAGAAACAGGCAGCAAAGAAAGGAAAGCGAGGCAAGGCAACAGTTCTTGATAGCAGCAGCGAAGGATCTGATTCAGAAATGATTTCTGCCAAAAAACCCGCAGCTGCTAAAGGCAAAACCTTAAAGGTAAGGAGGGAAAATACCCACATTGCCATTACCCAGTCTGTGTTTTTGCACGGGTTCGTTGAGTTGGTCTAAGTCTTAGTGTGGCTTCTGAATAGGTTTCAGGAAAACCAGTCTAAAAGGTTCCCATTATTAGCACAAGATTACTTATAAAGGGAGGGAGTCATTTTTGTTGCCCGTGTGTTCATCCTTTGTGGGGCTTCTAAATTTTCTTCTCTAATAGTAATTTAAGTTTGTAGAGTAATACACGATGGCTAATCATGAGCTGCTCTTCTCCCTTACACAGGCTAAAAAGTCACCACCGAAAAAGTCAAAACCAAGCTTAGAAAGCTCCAGTGATGAGGAGCCTGTTGTTAGCCGGGCTCCCCGTGCTGGTAGAGCCAGAGCTCCTGTGAAGTATTTTGATAATGACAGTGATAGTGATGACAAGGAAAATGAAAACACACGGGATTGGTCAGGTTCTGATGATGACTTTGATGACGAGGAATAGACCTCAGCAGTGTTGAATGCATGTCCTCAAATGGTTGTGGTTTGTAAATAGTACACTTATTCACTTCCAGCCATTGAAATAATGTTGGGTTTAAGTAATAAAATGGCATGAAAATTTAACATACTGTCTGGACATAAT